GTTATAGTCATTTCACAGATAGAAAGTTGTCGTGACGCTAGGTGTTGTGATAGCAACAATAACAACACATAGTGTCACGACAAATTGAACAGAATCTGGAAATTCTCGTTCTACACTTTTTACTACATGACTTCTGACGTTCTAACATTATTATATGAAGCAGCGTCGCTTTGATGCAAATATGATCTTTACAATTATAACACACGATGGTTGAATTTAATTCCAACTTGATGTAACTCTGCGTCTTAAGAATATTATTAATTTTACTGAAGATGGCCAGATTGTGGCCGAAACGTTTAATGTTTTTATTCTAATTCAAGAATAATTAAATATCACTAACTACATCTTGTGCTGTGGTTCTTTATGCTCTTTCTTTTCATATTTTTTATAAAGAAAATATTATCAAATATTGTAAAAAAGAAAACAATTAAATTATAAATAATTAACGACTATATAAATTACCCAGATAGCCAATGTCTGCAGTTCTCTAGCAAACTGTCAGCAGGTTCGAGCAGAAAATGACAGCATTTCTCTAATTATTCTGCATATAAAAGTATTAAGGTAGACATACGAAAAAAACCAATATAGTTTAAGAAATACTTTATTTTTATTTTTATACTTTATACTTTATTTTTGCACATATTAACATGAAATATTAAAAATCTCGTAAACTATTAATTTTTTAATAATCTTTAATACTTTTATATGCATAATAAAATTAGAGAAATCATATTATGTAAAACTAAAATTATATAACGCGCACGTGTCTATTTTTACATGTATATTACAACATACATGTCAGGGTTGGCAGTTTGTTTATAAGTTAATTTTAAGTTACCTATTATAAATTATTTTATATATCTTATATATACTTGTTATAAAATTAATTACTAAAAGTAATACAAAATTGAAGCAAATGATAAAATATGAAAAATAAAATACTCGAACTTACAGTACTCAACTTTTATAACAAAACGTAACTTGTAAAGTAACTTTCCAACTCTGTATACAGGGTGTTCCATTTGAAGCTTCGGACGCAATTGTCTGCTAAATCATTTATTATTAAAAAAAATGTTTCAAATGGAATTTGCTTTGCTTCCCCGAGGCGTCTTTTGATGTTCATAGATTCTCTCGAAGAGCATGTATTTTCAAAATATCAAGATCACCTTTATTTTTTAAAATGGAATTATATAATTTTTTTAAGTTTATTTTAGCATATTTTTTGGGGATAACTTCATGTTAGTAATTTAAAATATTTTTTAACTTATAGTCAATCAATTCAAAACAAAAATATCTCTTTCTTGTAAACTTCTTCTTTCTAGTAAACTTAGTAATTTAATGACCAAGATTAACTCGGATATTACTACTACAGTTTTTTCGTATTTTATACGTTAATAGTTTATATTCGTATGCGCTATCATTATGTAATTTTGTAATTAATAGTTCTTTATATTCAAGAGGACCTTGACCGTAAGTCGAAACATATACGTTTAATATTCACTTTGAATAAATGATATAAAATACATATCAGTGTTGGCTCAAATTGGCATTTTATTTATTATTTTTTAGATTTTTCTTTAGAACCTATTGATTATCTTGTTTATAAATATTATGAAATATTTATTGTAAATTTTGTAGTAAATACTATAGAAATGCAATACTTAATAAGACATTATATTTTAAATAAAAAATACTTAACATAAATATTTATTTATATTTATCATAAATATTACAATAAATATTTTATAATCTATCTTTTAATAATATTTCGAAGAAAGCTTTATATAAAATATGTATAAAATATTACATAACATTTAAAAAAATAAATAACAAATATTTACCATAAATATTTTGTGCTGGTATAACTGTAACAGACATATGTTTACAGTCATAACTGTTAAGATATGATAATCTTATGGTTACCATAATCATATTATAATTCTTATAATAAAAAAATGTATTAATGAGCGACTTTTAGTCGTGACAGTCGTAGTTGTTTTTTCCGTGTATATATGAATATGAGGACTCAAAGTTTACATGCATACTTAACAAAAATATGTACATACTACTCAAAGTTAAATGTAACAAATACTATTATTATGAATACATATAAACAAATACGCTTCTCTTTATTTAGTACTTTTTAAATAGTGTTCAATATTTTAGAACTTAATTTTCAAAATTCTTTTACAAAATAAGTCATATAACTATATATGTACATCTCTTGAAGACCACATTTTAGAGAGATACGAATAATAAAAATTCTATAAAATTTTGTTAACAGCTCTTAAACGTCAAAAGGTTTTAAAAATTCTTTATATCTTACCTTTCTTTAAAATATATAGACATTAAATTTGCTACATGTTTCCTATATTAAATTTGATAGAGAATTTTTCAGAACATTTATTTTCATGTGCAGATAGAACAAATTAAACTAAATTAAACTAAATAAAAGTTTCTTATAACTTTTCATTTTCGCAATAGTTAACGAGTTATTAATTATTAAAAATCGTCGTATTAGTTCGGCAAATGCAAGTGCACTGCAAGATGGAGCCGCCCAGCAAACGAGATTGCTAGGCACACGGAAAGTTGTTTATTAGTAATAAGTAAAATAAAGCAACTCTGCGTGTCTAGCAACTTTAACCGTTGGGTTAGCCCGGTTTACCACCGAATGTAAACACGTGAGATCCAATCATTCACGAATACGTTTCAAAACTCGATTCTATCAACTCGAATCTCTTCTGTTGTTGTTCAATATTCAGTAAACAACAAAATTAAAATGATATTCGGGTTGACAGAATCAAATTTCAGAATATATTTGTGAGCGGCTGCGTCTCACCGTGCTTACATTCAATGGTAAACCGGGCTAATGTTTTTAATAAAATTGAAAGGTTGTAAAAGACTTTCGATTCAACTTAGTCCGCTTTATCTGCATATGAATATAATCCCAAGTATTCTAAAACATATTCTGTATATCTTTAACAATAAGTCAAATTAATCATCTTCTGTTAATTGTACTTCAGTTCTAGATAATAATGTATTATATAAATCTCGTTTCTACTTTATAAATTTTTAATAAAATGGTAGAGGTAAAAAATAAAGACAATGCCTTGTCAATTTATTGGATTAAAAAAAACTAATAAACAATAAAGAAGCATATAGGTTAAATCGTAAGATGTTATTTTACATAATATCTATTTATATCAATATTTGTAAACAAATTATTTGTAAACGACAGTCATCTTCAGTACAACAAAAAATGCCAGGTCATTGAACGATAATTTATATTTTTTATTTTGTTACTGAAGGTGGATAAAGATAAAATCGATGCTCGATGTCTTGAATAATAGCATGCATACAATGATGCCTACTCTAATGTATGCTAAAATTCGTTCATGCCGTAATAAATGATTTTTATATTTATTATAGATAATAAATGATTTTTATATTTATTATAGATTACTTCATAACTTATTTCCTTGTATGTAATCAAAAGAAATAATTGCTAATTTCATATTATATTATATTATATAGTTATATTTCATATTATATTATATAGTTATTTATTTATTTATCAAACATCTGTATGCATCAAAGCAAGCACAATGTATGTATGCGTGCATACTTATCATTTCAAGAAATCGAACATCGTGTGATTCCATTTTTTTTTAGAAACATTTACATGTAATTTAAATATTGATAGATATTTAAATATTGATAAATATTGATAGATATTATATTGGGTCATCTAAAAAGTATCCGCAGTTTTTTGTCACTAAATGGTGTTGATGGTCATATATGATGGGCAACACTAATCCGATTGTGTCAATCGAACGCGCGTCTGAAAGATGACATTTTAGGTTACATTTTTTGTAAACAAAGTTTGGTGATTCATCAATCGTGTCAAAAGTTATATTGGTTTGAAAATGAGTGAAATATCTGAAGAAATACGCTATGTGATGCTTTTTTACTACAAAAAAGGCAAAAACACAGCACAAACATGCAGACAAATTTGTGAAGTTTACGGCGCGGATGCTGTAAGTGAACGCAGGACGCAGGAGTGGTTTGTTCGATTTCGTTCTGGAAATTTTGATGTCAAAAATCGACCTCGCTCTGGTCGACCAGTCACTGAAAAAGTCGATGAAATTTTGCAACTGGTCGAGCAAGATCGGCATGTGAGCTATCAGGAGATAGCCAATGCACTAAGAATCAACCATATGACAGTTTGGAATCATTTGAAAAAGGCTGGCTACGCAGCCTCGAGAAAGAAACTCGATATTTGGGTGCCACATGAATTAACGCAAAGAAATTTGATTGATCGAATTTCCATCAGCAAAACACTACTAAAACGCAACGAAATCGACCCATTTCTGAAGCAAATCATCACAGGCGATGAAAAATGGGTGAAATACAAGAATATTGTTCGTAAAAGATCATGGAATAAGCGCGGCGAACCACCACAAACGACTTCAAAGCCTGGATTGATGGCAAATAAGGTGTGTATGGTGGGATTGGAAGGGAGTCGTCCATCATGAGGTGTTACCACATGGCCTAACGATTAATTCAGAGCTCTAGTGTTCACAACTGGATAGATTACAGGAAACGATTAAGGAAAAACGATCAGAATTGATTAACAGAAAAAGTGTTGTCTTCCATCATGACAACGCCAGACCACACACATCTTTGATGACGCGCCAAAAATTGAGGGAGCTTGGTTGGGAAGTTTTGATGCACCGTATAGCCCGGACCTTGCACCGTCTGACTACCATTTGTTTCGATCTCTGCAGAACTCTCTTGATGGAAAAACATTGGCCGACAAAAGAGCTGCCGAAAATCACTTGAAAAAGTTTTTCGCCGATAAACCACAAAAATTCTACACGGATGGAATTATGAAATTACCCGAAAAATGGCAAAAGATTATAGATAATAATGGCCAATATATACTTATTAAAATTGATTTTCAATAAAAAAAAATTTCATTCAAAAATTAAACAAAAAACCGCGGATATTTTTTAGATGACCCAATATAATAACATCCTGTGGTTTATCCTATATGTCCTTTTTTATTGTTTATTAGCTTTTAAAATTTGATCCAATAAATTGGCAAGGTATTGTCTTTATTTTTTAATCGGCTTAGAATGTAATTTAAAGAACTAATTGTCATTATACTTTTTGTTTGTTTTAAAAAAACTTTTTTTGTTCAGATGTTATTTAAAAAAACGATAATTAACGATAATTTTATAAATTTTTATATCTTATTGTTTTATCTAGTTCCTTCTTTAAAATTTTGACACTATATTTATAATTTACTTTTTTTCATAAAATAACTTAAAAAATTAACTTCTAAAATATTAGATAGTATTTAAAAAACACTCTGTATGTATGAGTGCATTCTCTTCCGCAATACGTAGTTTAAAACATAACTATTGACATACATTTCCAATATTATCAGATACATTTCCATAGCTTCAATTTTTTATTACTTTTACACATTCTTCTCACACATATGTTATATAATATGTTACATACATATAACATAATAATAGGGCAAGTAATGACCACTAGAAAATTATTTTTTGGTAAAAATAAAATCTAAGTTTAGAAAAAAAATTACAAGTTACACTGAAATAAAAAGGCAATTTTTGTTACTATTCTTTTTCTTATTCATTTCTATTCTATTAGATTCGTTAATTTAGTTTTAAAGCGATGTTTTAAATTTTGTCAATAAAAATGTTATATAAATGTTTATTATCAGTATACATTTCATGTCAGATTTTATACACAACTGTAAAATGCTAGAAAATAATTATATGAGATAATATTAAATTGATTTAAAAGATTTAGAATAATTACTTGTAAATAATATTATTTAAAATTCATTTTCATATACAATAAGATTATAATATAGAATAAGATAATATATAATATACAATAAGAATTTAATACATATTTTTAAATAATTTTATATATTTATTAATTTTATTTATATACTTACATTGCAAGATCCACGTACAAAAGATTATTTTCTCATTGGTTCACCATGGCCTGTCTTAACTTTGATTGGATTTTATTTCTATTTTATATATAATCTTGGACCGAGACTCATGGAAAAAAGGCAACCTTTCACATTATACAGGATATTGCAAATATACAATGTGATACAAATTTTATTAAATGGATATTTATTTTACAAAGTAAGTTGCATTACATTTTTAATTAGACATTAATTATTTAATGTCTAATTTGTTTTATAATAATATAAAACAAAAAAATATTTCTTCTATTTTTCACACAATTTGACAGAAATTTAAAAATATTTTTTTATTAAATTATGTAATTTGATAAAGATATAAAAAAATTGATGTATTAAGAAAAGAGACTCTTAAAAATATCATACATTTTATGGACTTTCCGGTATGCTTAAATAATTAAATATTACGCAATCCATAATTTAATATTTATTCAATTAAATACGTACGATCAAGGCTCTTATTCTATTTACAAAAGCTTATTTTGTAATTATACATTTCAGGCATCATATTGGTTTACAGAATTTAATTACTTTTGCGAACCTATCGATTATTCAGATACACCAAAGGCAAGACAGGTAATTGTAAAAAGAATAAATTACTTAATCAAAAATTAATCTTTGCTACATCCAAAGCTATTTAATTTTAATTATATTATATTCGTTTGTCAAATGCACTTTATACAGTTGAAAGTAGCATTACTATTGTAATTTTTTAGAGTTTATGTAAAAACAAAATATATTTACATTTGTTTTATATGAGGTAAAAAAAAAGTTAATGGATTAATATTTATCACTTATATCTCTGTTACAGATCATCTTATTGGTTTGGGGTTATTTCATGATAAAGCTACTAGATTTAATAGATACTATCTTTTTCGTACTTAGAAAAAGGCAGAACCAAGTAACATTTCTTCATTTATATCATCATATTGGCATCTTAATGGCTGCTTGGACTGCCGTTAAATATTTGCCTGGTGGTCATATCACGTTCTTAGGTATGTAAAAGAAATGCAAAAGTTTTATTTTAATTTCATTTTAATAATGCTTTATATATATATATATATATATATATTTCTTGAATACATGTAAATACATAAATGTAGAATAAATACGGGGCAAGATATATTAAAACCAGCAGATTAACGTTTACTTTTTTTCTACCATATATTTCGCCATATTATATTGACATATCCATTCCCTCTGTTACTGACAGCATCAGGATGATGTCGTGATCGCGCTAATCAAATGTCGATAAGACTCGAAAAGACCGGTTGCTGTAAGCGCGCTACATTTTGTTTACTTACAATATAATTAACTTTTACCATGTAAAAATGTTTTTATAATACGGATCTATTTAATACGAACAAAAGTCATTAATGTCCGGAATGTTTTTTTTATAGATTAACTAATTCAAAAATATTAAAAAATTCATGTAACTTCCTTAACTATTCTAAATAAAAAAGATAAACATAACTCCTATTATTTTCTAATAAATATAACTTCTTCTCATCATTATATTTATTAGAAAATAAATATAACTTCTTCTCGTCTTTATGTTATTCTTTCACGTTTGTGCGTATATCGACTGTAATTTTTATATTAAAAGAAAAATTTATTTTCCTCTCATGTAAACAAGAGTCATTTGTGTATTCAGGCGATTTTTAAAATTATGAATATTTTGAAAACAAGCAAGTACAGGCGCGCTGTATGATTGACTAATAAGTTTCATCTACCGACAAAAGCATCCTTATATTATGATGAATTAATTACTAATAATATGTTTCAGGAATCATTAATACATTTGTTCACATATTAATGTATACACACTATCTGTTAGCGGCCATGAAGATAAACACAAGCTTATGGAAAAAGCACGTCACTCAATTGCAGCTGGTCCAATTTTTCTTGATCACTTTACACTATTTACAATTAACATGGGTGGAAAATTGCGGTTTTCCATTATGGCCGATATATGTGATGGTACCGCAGAATTTGTTTATGATTATATTATTTGGAGACTTTTATTATAAAGCATATATCAAGAAAAAACCGGCCATCGAAACAAAGATGAAAATAAACAACACCTCCACTGAACTTTCGAATGGAAAACCAAAGGAACAATAAATTCGAAAGACGATAAAAAAATAGTGAATCTGTTTTAACACGGAATCCTGGCTTAACACTGCGTCAAGTACAACCAAAATTGAAGCAGAAAGGTTTAGATATATCGTACGAAACTATTCGAATTTATCTCAAAGCTAATATGAAATGGTGCAACACAGTTTTTTAATAAATTAACTCGACCACGCTCTGACTTACTGTAAATAAATCTCAAAATTAAATAAAAAGTTTGTTTGTGATAGATTTTCAGGTCCCAAGCAATTAATAGGTTTATTTATCTCATTTTAAGTTGTTTGAAGTCTTCACCTGAAGATCTATAATTTCACGTTTTATAAATACTAAATATTTGACAATACATATTTCATCTCTTAAATCTCCATTTTAATAAATCTACTACACTATTTGACAAAAAATATAAAAATATAAAGATAATTATTTCTCACAGTTTTTGATGCTGAATATGCTTCCAACATGTTTACCAAATTATTCTATAATGTCACAATTTTGAGAAATTTGTAAATTAAACTTGCATAAAAAGCTATTTTAGTATATTTAATATATTATATTTTATGTTAATAAATAATAATTATTTATTAAGTAAAAAATCCTTCTTTAAAAAATAATAATAATAAATTAAATCTTACAATATATTAATTGGAAAAATATTTATTTATATTATAATCAGTGTAAAAGTACAAAAAAAATGACAGCTTTGAATTTTACAAACATGTATAAAATTGAAGTTGAAAGAAATTTAAAAAAATGATTTAAATAATATCGACAAATCCATTTTAAAGCAAAATCTCTATAACCATTAAAAATATCATCAAAAGCATGTAAAATACAATAAAGAACAAAAAAAATTTTTTTTTAAAACGCAAATTACAATTTTAATCATTGAGTGCACAGACGCAATTTTTATTCTAGCAATAATAAAACAATAATAACAAAATATAACAAAAATAAAACAAATAACTGTTCACTAATAGCCTTGTACATGAGATCCGTTGTCGGTTAAACAAGTGTACCGCATATTGCATCAACATATTGATCAGTATGTCGACTTTTATAAATGTAATGCCTACTAGAGAAGGCATTACATTTATAAGTAGGTATTACATTTATAAAATTTAATCAATTGATTTTATAAATGTAATCAATCGATTAATTTTATAAATTTAATACCTACTAAAAAAAATACAACATTTACAAAATAACCTGACACTACTGATTAATATGTTGATGCAATACGCAGTATACTTTTAAAATTTAAAGTAGGAATGAAGGGGGTAGCTTTGAACACTTTTTTCTTGAGCTCATAAATTATTATATAAAGAAATTATTTGTATTTCTGTTGTGCTAATTACTACAAATATCTATGTACAATAAATAATAAACCACATTGAAATATCATAACGACATATATATTTTATTTATATTTTAAAAAACTACTCTTTATGTTCAAAAATACCCTCTAGGGGGAAGGGGAGTTTTAAATTACCTTGGCAGTTTTAAACGCGTTGTAAAAATAAAAGATTAATTCGTTTCTTATTTATTTATAATGTACTAATTTATTTATACAAATAAGAGTCTCTTTTATAAAAATATATACTGGGTGACCCAAAATTGATGAATTCAAAGTACAGAACATGATACTTTATGTTAAAACAAACAACTTTTTTCTTTAGCAAAATTGCGTCCAATAAATCATTTTTACGCTTATTTGATAACTTGAATCTGCTCTCCTGCAAAAACTATTTATCAGACGCAATTTTAATAAAGCAAAAAGTTGTTTTTTGTGCTGAAACGGACAACTTTTTCCTGTAGTAAAATTACATTCGATAATTTTTGCATTTAACTCTTATAACTTCGAACTGCTTTCCTGCAAAAACTACTTGTTAAACGGAATTTTGCAAAAGGAAAAAGTTGATTCCGAGATGTTCTTGTTTTAATTCTCATGAGTATAATATATGCGTCCTATCTATGAGTATCGTGTGAATTTATCCGTGTAATTTATCCATGGTGGAAAAAAACTCAAATATGGCCGCGGTCCGATTCATGCTCACAACGCTTAAAAATCATTTTATCCTTGTTGTTTGTCAAATGTTAAACAAAGACAAATAATGCTTATGAGCGTTGTCAGCATGAATCGGATCACGGCCTAGGTCGCTGTCTTCAAACATGGAGGCGAAGTTGGGTCTTAGGGCCATTCCACACAACTTGCATTGCCGCATAAACATATGCCTAAAGAAAATCATCCAATCATATTTTACGTTTGTCTTTATAACAGAAATATGATTGGCTAATTTTCTTTATATGGCTATGCAAATTTGTGTGGAATGGCTCTTACTTAATTAAGTTCCAATAGATTTTTTTGTTTATCTGTCTTTATTATCATATACTATTAATGTTTTTAAAAAATAAACAGATGGATACAGTAGCTAATCACAGCATGAGGCTATATGACTCATTTAGTAATAATAACAAATTTTAAATATATATATATATATATTATATATATATATATATATATAGTACTTACTCAACATTTTATTCCTTTAAAGAGATTTATCTTAATGATAAATATTATAAATTTAGTTCTCTCACGTTCAATCTCGATAAAACTTCAGGTTCATTCGACATGTTATTACATGAAACAAATGAATTTAGCAAAAAGAAGCATTGTTCTGCCCTGCTCTGCGAATGTTTGTGTTTAAAATATATTTTTATAAAAGTTTTATTAATATATAACCAAAGATGCAACTTAAAGTATTGTACATTGATTTCCATTTTAATAATCTTAATCAAATTATCCCATACCATTAGTCACCTTACCTCTTTGACTTTCCGATGAGTCTTAAAACTTTCCAATAGAACAACACTATATGGCACATTCAAAAACGTAAAGCCTGATTTACATAAGGCGCAGAATGCGAATTGCAGGTTGCAAGCTCGTTGCATCAGTCAACCTCAAAGCATCACTATTAAAATTGATGCCTCGAATTGGTTAACACAACAAGCTTGTGACTCGCGTTCCGCATCTTATGTCGATCGGGCTTAAAGCAATAACAAATAAGTAGTAAACAAATTGTAGTAGTAAACCAATCACAATAGAAACTATAAAGCCAACAACAAATTCAATTAAGCCCAATCAATTATGACACATACAAAAACGTAAGGCAATAAAACGTAAACAATAAAGAAATTGAATTTGCTACTAGTCTTTACTGTAATTGATCAATTTATTAGGTGTACAAATAAGTTTCCGCCATTTTTTATCAAAACTTAAGCATTTATTGTTAAAGAACGATACATAATGTTTTATTTATGTAAGTCAAAATGTAAGTGCAAGTGCTTTTTGCATTTGGCCCGAATCTTCATTCAATAATGCGTCCAATTCCGCGTCTTCATACACTTTCGGCCTTCCGCTACGTTCTTTGTCTTCGACGTCAAAGTCACCGTTCTTAAATTTTTGAAACCATTCACGACAACTTCTCTCACTTAAGGCAGCCTCACCACATGCTCCTACAAGCAATCGATGAGCCTCAGTTGCAGATTTCTTCAAATTAAAGAAGTAAATCAAAAGTTCCCGCAAATGACGCTTATTCGGCTCAAAACTCGGCATTTTCGCACAAAAAAAAATATATGATGCTGATACAAAATCGCTAGTCTTTCAAGGTTATGTTATTGACAGATGTCCAACCTTACGATATAATGTTTTACATCAGACAATTTTAACCATAGCTTGCTAGTGGTACCGTCTTTTGTCAAACGGCGGAAACTTATTTGTACACCTAATACTTACTGCTTATATCTTACGTTTTTGTATGTGCCATGGGCCTTTACGGAAACTCGCGCAGCTCGCGATTAATTGCGATTGAAATGTTCTAAAGTGCCCTCATTTGCTTTGTTCATCTACTCTTATCAATCATATTGAAAAAAATATCTTATTTTGTTTACTAGAATATCAATAAAAAATATTTCACTTCTATTACGCAGATATAGACGCAAAAAAAGACATGTAGCACAACAAAATGTTAATTATTTAATGATTTAATTTTAAAATGCTTATGTGTGCGAAACGAAGGCACAAAACACAAAACGCTTTTATATTAGAGTAACAATTGCACTGCCGTGGCAGTTACCACTTGACGATTATCTGTGACTGTATTGCCATTTCAAAAATTATAATCTGTAATCGCAGAAAAGGACAGTTCATTTTTAATTTATAAAGTTCGAAACTGCCCCTGTACAAGGCTCTTTCTTCCCTATTAGGTGATAAACTTAATTTTTTTCTGCGGCTTATCTAAATAATAAACCTAATTTTCGCCGCTCATATCAGATGACTTCAACTACAAATGTAACATTTATCAGTAAACTTCAGTGCGCATTGAACGATGAATTAATGCGAAAAAGAACGTCAGTAGCCAGTAATTGGCGCAATATTATTCTTTTGCACGACAATGCACGACGACCTATTTAAGAGCCGTGAAAAAAACACTGTTGGAGTTCGAACAAGAATTTTCTCGCATCTAATCTATTCTCCAGACTTGGCCCTATCGGATTATCATCTTTTCCAATCAATACAGCACACACTTGCCGATACATATTTCTCCAATTACAAATAAGTCCAAAAATCAATAGATCAATGAATTGCTTCAAAAGACAGGTCATACCATCATCGCGAAATATAAATTTTACAAGAAAGATAGGAAAAAGTCATAGAAAACGATGGAGAATATTTTGATTGAGGTATTAATCATCTGAGTTGAATTAATACTGTACTAATGGTTGACATTACATGTTCTACCAATATGGAAATATGCAAAGTCATTAATCTAATAATAAAGTCGGTGCAAACTTGTTCGGATTGAAAATGCTATAAAATTAAAAAGCTCTTTTTCCATAAAATTAGCAATAATAACACATTTATATAATATTTAAAAAGTCATTTAAAAAGTATCCGCGGTTTTTTGTTCAATTTTTGAATGAAATTTTTCTTTATTGAAAATAAATTTTAATCAAGTATATATTGGCCATTATTATCTATAACCTTTTGCCATTTTTCAGGTAATTTCATAATT